AATATTGTGTGACATGTATTAATACAATATTCTAATAGTTACCTTTATTTTCTACCAAAGTCATTTTCTGGTTTGATATCTGTACTTTTACTGAAGTATGGGCTTTCAGGTTTGTCATCCACCACTGTGTGTGTGTTTAGTGATCCACCTTACACATCTGATACACTGACGCAATATGACACAACCATGTTTCTCACACACACACACACACACACACACACACACAGGTCAGAAGTTGCTCCCTGATGTCAGATACTGGCCCGGAACTAGAAACTGGGAGGCTGCTGGTTCCAGTCGAGTAGTTACATAACAACTAATCAGCTGCAGAGTGTGTGTGTGTGTGTGTGTGTGTGTGTGTGTGTGTGTGTGTGATAGATACAGAGAGACAGTGAGATGATACACTGATGTGCAGGGCCGTACAAACACGCCCCAGGGGGCCCTCCCGAATACATTACAGATATTATTATTTGTCAGATCTTGTGTTTATTGTTTCTGTTTTTTGTATTTTTTGTTAATTACACTGCAACAAAGACAACATCTTTTAAAATTAATGTTTTTTATCTGCATATTGATATTATTTCAAGTAAGTATAACAAACGTCAGTATAATGAACAAACTTCAGTAATTTGAAGATCATGTAAAGGCACAGTCCTTTATCTGAATGTAATAAAACAGGTACAGCCCCAACACCAAAATATGAAAGGCAAGGCAAATTTATTCATTTAGTACATTTCGGCAACAAGGCAATTCAGGGTGCTTTACATAAAACATCATAAGTGTTGAAACAAAGAGCAAAAGAAAGGCATTATCAAAAGACATTTAAATACATACACTTTAAAAGCCACCATTGAAGTGGACAACATATTATAGAGAACATATAGTATAAAATAAAAGACAAGCTAAATTATATTAAGACAGTTATAAACTACAATAATAGAAGTTCCAGTCATGTAATATTCAGTCTTTATTTCAAAGAATTGGGAGTTGCAGCAGACCTGCAGTTTTCTGGGGATTTGTTCCACAGATGTAGTGCATACAAACTAAAAGCTTCTTTCTCCATGTTTAGTCTTGACTCTGGGGACACAAAGCAGACCTGTCCCTGAAGACCTGAGCGCTTTATAAACCAACAGTAGTATTTTGAAATTGATTCTCTGACAGACAGGAAGCCAGCGTAAAGACCTCAGAACTGGAGTGATGTGATCCACTTTCTTGTTCTTAGAGACGACGCACAAAACACAGTATTGAAACCAGGCCAATGTTTTTATGAGAGTGAAGATGTACAGGTGGCAGTAATGCTCTTAAAAATGCAGCAACGCTTCAACAGTGGCAGGGAAAAAGAAGAGGACTGCTGGTAAGTAAAAATGTGTGTATACAACACAAAGTTTCAAACTTTTAAGAAGAGTCTGTTTTGCAAAGAAAAGCATTCAGCACAATGAGTTCAAACACATAATTAGTTTGCTCAGAAAACACCACAGGGTGCCTGTAAGAATATGCTTTATTCAAATTACAATTGCATATTTTGAAATGCTTTAAACTTTACATTTAGCATTGGCTGTCGAGACCTGAGCAGCTGCAAGTGTGAATATGTTTATATGAATTTGAGTATGTATGCTGATACAGATGTTTACTGAAATGATTTCTGGCTTGTAGATTGTTTTGGATATGAAAACATTTCTTCTTCTTCTTCTTCTTCTTCTTCATCATATGCATAGAAAAAAAATCACAGGGAAAAAGGAACATCATTGTCTTATCTTATCCTATCCTCTTTATGTGAATCTGCTGACCCAACACACATCCTGAACCCTGAGTTTCATCCGTTGCCTTCAGGCTGACCGTTCATAATGCCAAACTGTACATCAAACTGGTACATTTATAATCGTTATTGACTCTATTTCTGCAATAACTTCACTTATTGCTTTGTTTACTCTACTAACGTTAGAGTTAGTGCTTGTTGCTTCAGGAGCCACCATTGTTGGGCCTGCTTCTTTTCAGTTGGCCGATGTGCTGCTTAACACGTAACAGCGAGGGCCGGGAAAGCAGTTTAAATGGAGTGTAATGTGTCAGCCAGCGGCAGCAACCATGTAATTTCCAGCTGACAAAACAATGTTGGCCTACAGAGCTTAAGCCATGTCAGCTTTCCTGGTTGACAAATAATTGCCTGCATGGACAGTAATAATCCCAATATAATGTTATGTAAGTCTCAGTGACAATCATCGGTTCTCTGTCTCAGCAATCTCCCTTGACTTGTCTTTGTTTGTATGGGCCATGTGGTTGTAGTGACAGATACGTCGCTGAAGGTGGATCCAGCGTATCTGCCGGCCCCCATAACAAGCAAATGTTGTGCAGATTTCGCCTACATGGTGCACTGCAGGCATGCTAATGTGCTAATGGTGCAAACCCATTGTTCTGCAAGAACAGAAGAAGCAGCCATTTTCAGTCATCAATTCTAATCTCTGATTGGCTCCTCACGTTGTCAAGTGCAGTGCAAATCCTTGATTTGCCCCAGTTAGATTTTAATTTGTGGATACGATGCAGGACTGATACAGTGATCGAAACAGAATGTTGAGCTCACATCATCAATATGGTCTTACCAGGCTAGCCTACAGTCCACTGAGTCCTTGTCAAGTGCCTTCCAGCAATAGGCAACCAATGTGTGGGCAGGTCCGAGATCTGCTGGCTGTAATCAGAGTCACAGGAAGCCGCTACCTGATCCACTTGACCCACACACACTCACAGACACCACACACACACACACACACACACACACACACACACACACACACACACACACACACTCACTCAGCTGTGGTTAAAGAGAAGCCAATCTGGCTAAGAGCAGCACTCCGACTCAGTGATCAGTTACCAAGAGGTCTCAGGCATTATTCATCACACTCTGAATAATCAACCTGCTATGGAAACATGGAAACTATGTTACCAAAGAGTGTATGTGTGTCAGTGGATCATGAAGTGTGTGTGTGTGTGTGTGTGTGTGTGTGTGTGTGTGTGGGTGGGTGTGGGTGGGTGGGTGGGTGTGGGATTGGGTGTGTGTGTGGGTTAACTAAAGGATAGAAACATCTGAAAGAAGGTGTGACGGTAGACAGACAGACAGAGGACAAGCAGTGTGTGGTGATTTGTGTGTCCTGGTTTCTGTATGTGTCTTAAACAAGCATTTCATTAACACTCTGACCTCAGTGTTAACACACACGTCCTCGGTGATCCAGGCTGACATGTTTGTTACAACCACAGTCTGAATGTATGGAACAGAACAAACAGCAGACTGATGACACAGCTGTTTTCATGCGTCTGTGCAGGCAATAGCCATGGTCGGAGGCATTATGTTTTCCACCAGCAACAAATTTGTTTTTTTTTTAGTGAAACACCTTCAGCAATAATTGGATGGATTATCGTTAATTGTGGTTCATACATTCATGATCCCCTCTGGATTTATTGGAATAACTGTGATGATCCATATTCTCACTCAGTAGTATCAACCTGGTCAACATTTTAATTTGTGCACTACTTTGTTTTTTGACTAAATAGACACAATTGTGTTCCCATCAGCCTCAGCCATACTTTGTATTTAGTAGTCACTTGAAACCCCCCATTTCCACTGGATGCAGCTAAATTGCATCCAAGGTCCGCTGCAGCTACCTGACACTAATCTAGTGCTATTGTAGCCAATTCATCAACTGCGTCAGCTGCATGGATGGATTACTGACCAGGTCTAACAGGCACAGGCCCAGTCCCAGAGGTCCAAAGTGTCAGGGGCCCCACTGGCTGTGACCAACAAAATGTCACTCAAACTAGCATGAACTGACCAGGGAGAGACTCAAAATGACCTCAGACAGACATAAAGTGGCTACAGAGAGATGCAGCAGCTGCAAAGGGACACAAAGAGACTCACAGTGCTGACAAAATGGGCAAAACCACAACAAAGAGACATAAAATGGCCATCAAGAAATATAAAGCAACTATCCAGGAACACAGACAACCCCAAAGAGATCCAATACAGCTGCAAAGAGACACAAAGAGACTCACAATGACTACAAAAAGGGTCAAAACAACCACAGAGACACAAAATGACCACAAAGAGATGCAAAACAGCTGGAAAGAGAGACAAAGAGACTATGGTAAGGGTTAAAACAGCCACAAGACACACAAAATGATTACAAAGAGACGCAAAGCAACTACAAAGAGATTTAAATGATTACAAAGACATAAAGACACAAAATGACTACAGAAAGGAACATAAAGATAGCCTACACAGAATGATAACAAAGAGATGCAACACAACTACCAAGAGACACAAAATGACCATAAAGATACATAAAATGACTGTAAAGAGACACAAAACAACCAAAAAGAGATGCAAAACAGCTGCAAAGAGCCACAAAGAGATTTATGACTACTATGAAGAGTGGCAAAACAACCACAAAGAGACTCAAAATGATTACAAAAAAAAATGCAAAGCAACTACAAAGAGATTTAAAATGATTACAAAGAGACACACAAACAAAAAGGGGCAAATAACCACTGACACTAAAAACAAAGCAAAGCAACTACAACCAAAGACTCAAAAAATAAAACAAACAAAGAGATGCATAACAACTATAGAGACAAACAAAGCAGCTGCAAAGAGACACAGAGCAACTACAAAGAGATTCAGAGTGACTCCAAAGAGAGGCAAAACAACCACAGACACAAAATAAATTACAAAGAGACACAAAACAACAACAAAAAGTGGCTTAACAGCTGTAAGGTTGGTGTGCCTTGCTCCTGTGGAGGAGAGGTGGTGGGGTCCTCTGCATGCCCAGGGGCCCACGGTCTCATATTCAGCCTATGCTGAACTGATGGTTTTGTAGCTAATGATGCAATCTTACTGTACAGATGTCATGACAGGTATAACACTACAGGTGTCTCAACTCTCTCTAACTAATAAAGGTTAAAGTTAAAACTGACACCTTCTCTCGCTCTTTCTTTCTCTGTCTGTCTGTCTGCAGCTGTTGAACCTCTTCCTGGCTCTGCTCCTCAGCAGCTTCAGCTCCGACAACCTGTCAGCTCCCGATGATGATGGCGAGATGAACAACCTACACATCGCCATCCACAGGATCACTAGAGGCCTGGCCTGGTGCCGCAGACAGGTATCAGTATGTCTGTCCGACAGTCACTATACCTGACTGTGCACCTGTCTGAATCATGTTATGTTCTGTGTCTCACGCTGTCTTTTCTTTTTCTCTGTTCTGTGTGATGCAGGTGGTGGATTTCTTTAATGGGAATCTAAAGCGCCGCCGTCAGAAGAGAAAAGAGGCCAAAGCCATGATGAAGCTCAAACGCTTGAGCACCATCCACACTGAGGCCAATGGAGCTGTCATAGGTAACACACACAAAATGACCACACAGGATGCTGGGGGATAGAAAAATGCTGCAGCCAGAGAGTTAGATGAGAAGTTCAATATCACTCTCATATCTGTCTGTTAGATACTCAGCTACAGCCAGCAACTTGACCTGTAATGGAGTATTTTCACAGAGTGGTATTAGTACTTTTACTGCAGTAAAACTTAAGGGTTACTTTAGTTTGTTGGTGGGGTAATGTGTGATTTTTGGGTCCAAACTGATGCCAGCTTCAGACTACATGACATTTTTGTCTTTTCCGACAGTCACTATCTTAGATAAGGTGATTGTGGAGTCATAAAATCTTGCTGTAACTTTGCTGTCAAACATGACAGACTACACGCTGGTGCACGACCAATCATCCCTGGTCGTCTTTCGCAATGTTTCAAATGATGGCGTGGTGCATTAAATTTAACAGGGCAAACAGGAGTGGATTAAAAGTAAAAATAGATAAATGCTGAGGGAATGAGAAATAAAGGCCTGCATCTGCTGTAGTCTGTTTCAAATGAAGCTGGTAGCCTATGCAGTTGTGGTGAGTAAAAGCCCCGCCACTATTTTTTAATTGTATTACTTTATATCCGCCTCCATTATAAAGAAATAACATTGTTTGCTAGCTTGATGCTAATGGCAGTACTCATCAGGTTGAAAAGGTGCCTCTGCTGTTTCATGCCATCATTTTCCCCTTTTAATCTGTGTGGTAACGTCCCAAGAGGTAATATCAAAAAGGCTGGGGTGTTGTTGCCATACAGCTGTCCATGGCAGCAGATGGTTCTGTGTTTTTTTTATTGGTTAAAGTGACGGCTGTGACGGGAGAAGTCGTGGAAGACAAAAAGAAAATCAAACATGCTGGGGACAGCAAAAACATACACATAATTGCAGACAAACAAAATCCCATCATAAACCTACTCTTCCCTCTTGCAACTCTGCACCCATGGTTCAAATGATCTCCCTCAAAGGTGAACCATCAACCTTCCCCACAATGACCTCTTTAACTATTTTTTAAAAATTGCCTTTTTTTAGCTTTGTGTCATTTGCAGGGGCAGGTTGTTCAGTAAGGAAATCCCAGTTTAGAAAAATGATCTTCTTGCTATTTTACCATCAACATGATGAACACTGCAGGAGATAATGAATGCTCTTGTGATGAAATTGCAATACATATATGTAGTAACATTGTGGTAAAGAAACCTAATTCATGCCACACACCTTAACCAAAAACTGAATGTTTAGATTTGAATTCATAAGGAGCACCACTGGGAGGCTACAGAAAGAAAAACCTAAAAAAAAAAAAAGTGGTGCTGCCCTTTAAGTCTGCAGTAAGACTGAAATAATTTATTTTAACAACCAGAACATTGTTCAGTCAATTAAGATATAAAGTTACGAATTTAAGCTACAGCCAGTGATAAATTACCCATTTAGTGATCAGTACTGTGCACTACTGTTGTCTCCCCCACAAATAATCTATTAACTTTTTCTAATTTCTGATGTCTGAGCATCCGTGAACACACCAACCAGGAGTTTAGAGATCTTTTTAGAGATTTTATTTTAAAAATGTGACTAAATGTTGATTAATGTACCTCAACTTTGATTCGTGTGTTTGTATCTGTCTCAGGCCGTCATGTGGAGAAGTATGTGGTGCCAGAGGATGACAGCTACATGACAAACCCAAACCTGACCATCAGCGTCCCTATCGCCCCCGGAGAGTCGGACGTGGAGTTCCCAGAGGAGGAGGAGGAGGAAGAGGAAGGGGAGGGGGAGGAGGAGCAGAGCGAGGGCTCTGAGGAAGAGGAGGAAAGGGAGGAGGTAGGGAGGAGATCTGACTGTCTGCTGACCGCACTGTGTGGCTTTTTAGTTCACACACACAGACACAGATACACACACACACACACACACACACACACACACACACATACAGGCATCTGCATCTGACGTAAACAAGCTCAGGTGTGTGTGGGTGAGTCAGCTGTTGTTCCCCCCCAAGGTTACCATCTAACAACTGGTGTGTCTGTCAGTGTTTGTGTTTGTGTGTGTGTAACGGATGAAACTTCACCATTTTTTTAATCTTACATAACATTTCTACATTTAGTCTGAAGACTATGTAGCTGCGATTTTTTTTTTAATACCGATTTTAGAGTTATTTCTGGTTAAGCAAAAAGGATCTTACTCTTTTTTAAAAAAAAAAAAAAAGGTTAGGATTAGGGGTTCTAGGGATCTGTCTATAATGTTGTCAGACATTTAAAATAACAAACTAAACCTGTCAGTGGCAGAAACGAGTACTTTTATTGGAGGTACATTGACGATGCTGACGTGCCCTGAGTGCTTCTATTGCAGCCTGGCCAGTGCTCTTGCTTGATACTAGACCAGTTTCAAAAAATGTTGTTACAATGAGTCACTTTGACACAGAAATGTGGGAAAATAAAGTCCAGGTTGAAAAATACCCTTCAACTCTGGATTTTTGAGTTTATTTAACAGGCAGAGAGCCACACAGCAACTCTTCAGCATGGTAGTGAATGCTTTGTTTTCCCCCTTGGTGAAGTTTCGTGGTCATTCTCATGAATATTGGCTGTATCTACAGAGGTGGATGAGCCAGTGGCTAATAGCTAACAGTGCTAACAGCTAACAGTGCGAACACTGCTAACAATGCCATCAGTGTTGACAGAGTTTACGGTGTTAAAGTACCGGGGCGGAGGGTGGGCGCTACACTTTGGCTACAATGCCATTGCTATAATCACCAGTTACCAATGTGTGAGCGCAGTGCAGAGCAGCAGTGATTAGCTAGGCAGTTGGATACACGCAGGAACTCACATGCACGTGCTATGGGCCTGTTTACCACAACAAACAGAGAAGCTCAGATTATGTAAACGTTAGTAATCTTAGCTTCTCTGTTTGCGATGAGCATGACTTCATTCTCTGCTCAGGACGCCATTACTCCACCATATATTTACATAGTAAATAATGGTTTACTACTGTATTAACACTTTTTTTTAATTATTTATATTTTCATCTGTGCAATACTCTTCTGTTTCAACTGCTAAACTGCACAGTATGCCATATTGACCTGAAACCCTCTACATTTTTGTGCATTAACAATTCAACTGTGCAATTTTTACACTGTACACTAATCTTATTTAATATTTAGTTCTCACCTTTTCTACTCTTACATTTGTATTTTGCACATTTGAAGTTCAGTGTACATATTTGCCCATATTTCTTATATTTTTCTTGCACATATTTGCCCATATTTCTTATATTTTTCTTGCACATATTTGCCCATATTTCTTATATTTCTTTTGCACATATTAGCACATATTTCTGATATTTCTTGTGCACATATTTGCCTATATTTCTTTTGCACATATTTGCCCATATCGCTGATATTTCTTGTGCACATATTTGCCTATATTTCTTTTGCACATATTTGCCCATATCGCTGATATTTCTTATGCACATATTTGTCCTTATTTCATATATTTTTGTCCACATTTGGTACATATTTCAAATATTTCTTTTGCTACTATTCGTGCATTTACCATATCTTTTATTTTTAAGACAACATATCTCTTCTTATAGGTTTGTGTCTATACAGTATCAGAGCATTCATAAGGTCTCCCAGTTTACCCCTGGGGATCCACGAAGTATCCTGTATCTGAATCTGAAACATATTCTGAATATTACAGTATATCCCATGGAGAGTTCCTCTCTCTCTTTCTGTGAACAGTGTCTTTGTGCACACGCACACACACACACACACACACACACACACACACACACACACACAGAGTAAGAGGTTCCCTCAGATAGAATTGGAGCCCTGAGGCAGTGCATTATGGTCTGGCATTTTTCTCACTCTGCAATGCTGTGTGTGTGATGTGTTTGTGCTAAAAGGGTGTATATTAGTGTGTGTGTGTGTGTGTGTGTGTGTGTGTGTGTGTGTGTGCTGGCCTCCTGTCTCTCTTCATCTATTCACGGGACAAAAGTCCAACTGAGCCACAGACACCTTGTGTGTGTGCCTGTGTCTGTTTGTGTGTGTGTTCTTTGTAAGAGTTGTGTCACATTTTTCAAATAGTCTCATTTTGTGTGTATGTGTGTGTGTGTGTGTGTGTGCGTGCGTGCGTGTGTGTGTGTGTTGTATGTTGTGTGTTGTAGCAGCAGGAGGAGAAGAGATGTTTAGTTGTTTCCTCTCTCTTCTCTTTGTATCTAACATGAAATGACAGATTTGTGTCGTGCTGTGTGTGTGTGTGTGTGTGTGTGTGTGTGTGTGTGCGCATGTGCATGATGCATGTGTGTGTGTGTGTGTGTGAGTGTGTGTGTGTGTGCGTGTGTGCGTGTTCACACACCTGTGCTGACTCAGTTCATCATTACCTCTCCTCTTTAATCATGTTGTGCACCTGTTCTGTCTCTCTCTGTCTTTCTATACTGTATCACAGTGGTTTCCCAACCTGTGGGTCAGAACCCCCAAAGGTGACACAAGGTGTCCTGACATGATTCACGTGAAAGAAATGAATCATAAACGTGTTTTGCAATACAGAATTTATTTCAATTTAAAAACTTTGCTCTAATCTTTGCTATGTTCTTGTTAAACACTGTGATGTTTCATCCCTTCTGGCTTCTAAACTGTTAGAATCTTCCAAAGAATGACTTCTCCATTAATATAATACATACCTTATTGATCTTGTGTCAAGAACTCACATATTGCTTAGTTTAAAACCCTGTGTCCTCCTATATCCTTGTGTCATTGTTCACTGACACATGAATATGCTATGTTCTCTCAACATTGGATTGTGTTGTTAATGTGCTAACCAGCTAACTAGCGTCAAGATCGTCTTCCAATTTCTCTTTCTGAATGATGAATACAGACTACCACCATCTGCTGGTGTGGAGAGTTATTTCTTCTCCCACAGTCGCAGAACATACATGCTGGTTGGCTTTTGGCTGCAGTCTTTATGGTGTGTTCATGTGCAACTTTTTGGCCAAGACACTGCGACTTGAGGCAACGCAACAGTCGGCTTTATATACATACTTTATATCATACTTTGTTGCTTGTGACTATCAAAAATAAATCCATAGTCCTCATATATGCTGTTAAGCCCTTTGAGGCAAATTCTTATTTGTGATATTGGGCTTTATAAATAACATTGAATTGAATAAAATTGAATATAAGGACAACTTTTTAAAAAATACCTTCTGCTCAGAGATACAGTAATGCTTAGTTTTAGGTCCTTCTCATCCCAAATAGCCTGAAGAAATTAAAAATTCATACCAAAGAAAAGCTGTGGTCTCAGGAGGTTAAGGGGACTCTCTCTCTCTGTTTGTACAGCAGCATACACACTGAGCAGCAAACAAGCTGATCATTTCTGCTTCAGTCTCTGTGTTTGCATGGTGCAGTAGCCAGTTAGCCATGAGGTGAAACATGCAAATGCAATGAGCACTGCAGAGCACACACAAACACACACACACAAACACACACACACACACACACTTACAGAAAAACACACACTGACCTAATGTGAAAGGGCAGCATAAATAGAACAAAACTCAGGAGCATATTTTCCCCCCAAAACAGCTGTTGTCGAGTCAGAGAGAGAAAGAGTGGGTGTGTGTGTGTGCGTGCGTGCATGTGTGTGTGTGTGTGTGTGTGTGTGTGTTAGGGAGAGAGAGGGATGAGAGGCTGTTGGGGGTCGGGACAACAGAAAGGGAGAGGGGGGAGTCAGAGAGCATCACTGCTTTCACAACTCTTTAGCATCAAGCTTTGTTTTCAGGGTGTGTGTGTGTGTGTGTGTGTGTGTGTGTGTGTGTGTGTGTGTGTGTGTAACAGTCAGGCTGTTTTTTTTCTCCCTCTTGTTACATCTCACTTACTCTATTGCTTTTGCTTTTAATTGAGCTCAACATTCTACATAGAATGAAGAAGAAAACAGAGGAGTAGAAGCGTGTTTTTATCCTCATCCTCGTGTTCTTCATGTTACACATCACTGGTCTTTAATTCACCCTCTGATTTCCTTATTTCACCCCCAATTCTTTGATTTCCTCGCCACTCACTGTGGGTGTTTGTGTTGCGTAACAGTCAGGGAGCTCTGGAAAGGGTTTCCTGACATGACTTGAACTTTTCTTGAACCGGTTAGCCTGACCTTTGTAGATATGTAATAATAATACATTAGATGCTGGATTCTGTCTCACATCAGATGCATTCAGCTGATTTGGGTTGATAGTTTAGACAATAGGTGTGTTTCCACTAAACTGTTTTTATGCATATTTTCAAATTTGGCACAAAAAAACCTGAGTGGAAAAAACTCAAAAAGGTTTTAAGCTTGGCTGAAGTGCAAAAAATTTGTTGTATTAAGGCCGTGATGGAATGTACATCTACTCAAGTAGGCTACTGCGATTAAGTAGCAATTTGAGGTACTTGTACTTTACTGGAGTGTCTCCATTTTCACGTAATACTCCTCCACTACATCTCAGAGGTAAATGTTGTACTTTTTATTGCACTACATTCATCTGACAGACTTAGTTAGTTTACAGATGATAGTTTTTCATCCCCTTCCTGTCCAGTAAAAACCATGTATCTCCACATGTGCTGATTTTGAATGTTTGTGATAAACTGAAGGTTGAAGTGTTTTTCCAGCACATTCTCATTCCTAGCATGTCAAATCTCATTTTCACTCCAACCTTGTCACATATCGATGTTTGGTCATGGACTTTCCACATCCACATATGACGTGCAAGGTACCCTGTGTGCCCTGGTTGTTGACATTCTGGGATGCCATTTCAACTTCTGTCTGTCTGTTACATGCATTGTCTGTTTTCAA